GACAGAGATATAGAAAGGTCGAAGAATGTAGACGTGTTCTCTGTCGTGTCTGGATTTGCTCCCCACAGGGTTGGGAGAAAAACCACACTGGCTATTTAGAAATGTACACGTCGACGGGAATATAATAGTTGAATTTAAAATTCCCTGCGTTGAAGTTCTTTTTCATCTCTGTCCAAAACAACGAGCGATAACCGGGGGTGGGGGAGAGAGAGAGAGAGCAACATTATTATTATTATTATCGAGCATTTCTCTTCCCCCCAAAATTAATCCCACCGGGGCCATTGCAAAGTTATGTTAACTTCTTTTAACGGTATAACATGAGGATAACGTAAAGTGGAAAAATTACTATTTACAACTTTACTACAGTTGTTCTTTTTTTTTTACAGACGAAAAACGTGACAAAATGATTGTGCTTATAATACACCATATAGATGTAGAGAAAACATTTAGTGAGCAAAAACGGAAGCATTTACGAAAACTTGTCAAACATAAGTCTACAAATGCATTACTCCCGGGTGATTTAGATTTACCAGAAAATAGTCTATGCGACTATGTTTTTAAGTACTGATTTAACTCACAGCTGATGTGCATGCAATATGAATTGAAATCAGTAGATTTCAATAAAGAATTTTTAACAACTACCCTTCCGAAAAATGTAGACACCTTTTGGAATATTTTGTACCTGAGGTCAACTCAGCTGTATTTAGGAAATATATTAAGAATAAATCTCGCCATTAATAATATATGATATTTGTATGATACTTACATATTAAGAGTGGAGAGGTACGGTGGAGTAGTGTATAGCGGCTCGGATTGAGGAATCGGAGAGCCGAGTGAGAATTCCATACGAATCCATTACATTCACTTATGGGCCAATAGCCTTGGGAAAGGTATGAATCCTCTTCTTCTCCCACCAGCTTATAGTAGACGAGATCCGGTTCTGTAGCCTTGGATAGCAACTGGTCTACCGCAGAAAGAAATGACAACCGACTGCGGGAAAAATAATCTGCCTCGTCAGTCATAAGCGTGTATCACGCATGGCACATAACTGACTGATGTTAAGAGATATCTGATCCTATTGAGGAATAGAAGATCCGAGTTCAAATATGGGATCTGTTACGTGCTATGTTCGGACTAATACACTTAGGAAATGTATGAAGCCTCTTATTCTCCCATTGCCAGCTATAGTTAAATAGCAGGGAACACTGGGTTCTATAGCCTAACCGGTCTAGAAGAAAGTAACTCTGAATTCAAAACTGCTCACGTTTGGTTCGATGATTCCGGCTAAGTTCGAATAATGGATCGATGGGCAAGCGGTTAAAGATTGTATCGATAGAAATCATTGATTCAGTTCTGTTCAAGGCCATGACTAGGAAAGTGGAAGAATAAACATAAGATATACAAGGAAAAATAATCTGAAACAGTTGATCATATCAGTATTTACAAGGTTACGTATTAGGGTCTTCTGAAATGTGGTTCATTTAGTTTAAATGAAGTACTGTTGGTGAGTGAGAAAATTGGAGGAAACGTCAGATATCAAGTAATTCCTATGTGTATAAATGCAAATAACATGGTTTTCTATACCATGTGATTTTCTTTTCTTTTTAGGAAACTACGTGCATACATAGGGGGGATGTTTTCTTTTTGGAATTACATGTATACACAGAGAGATGTTTAGTTGACTCCATTTAATTATCGGCGTGGTTGAGAGTGCTACAGTTTTAATTTGATAACTTGATCAAGAAGCATCTTAAGAACAGCGGCTAATTAGATGATAGCCTTGACCAAGGGTTGATCTGGATGATACCATTAGTGACCAAAACAAACGAGAAAGGAATCTGAATTCGGCAGGTCAATTCAACAGTAAGCGCTGATAAAGATAGGTTACCCTTGTATATCTATGTTGACGTCATTAACTTAACGATGAATTTTACTGGTCGCTGAAATAAATTTCTTATTTACCTTTTTAGTAAAAGAATCGGTATCTTAATAGCGTTTACTTCCTCTCAATCACTCCTACGGAAATATATTAGAATTTGGTAATATTAATGGAAATATTAGCCGTTTTATGAAGAAACCTTCGGCATTTGATGACCGAGAAGCCAGATCTATGAGAGTAAACGTTTACTGCATTCACTAGTCATTCAAAGGGATAATATTGTAGTAACAGTTCTCCTCTTCTTGAATGGAAATATTAATCGTTTCCTTATAGGGAATATGCCATTCTAATGCAGAGAAGCCAGTACCACGTTCGTTTGAAATTTTTAAAAACTTTCTCTTCGATTGTTTGGAAAATAATGTCCGATTTTAAAAATAAACCTAACAATTTTTTTTCTAATATACTTTATAGTAGCTGCAGAAAAAAAGCATACTATAATTCTAAGTGATTAGTTTGGCTTCATTTTTAATCTATATCAATCTCTTCCAGAACTTAACTTAAAAGATAATATACGCCTCAAATTGAACATGAAGGAATCTGTGCGTTTACTTTACTGAACGAGTTTAAGGTTGGTGATAATGCTACTCAAATTGCTGCTAACATTAACTGAGAATGGGCTGAAGGATCCAATTGTGATCGGGCAGTTTGTTTTATTTGGTTTTACGGCATATCAACCTCAATGGGTTATTTAATGCCGACAATTTTTATCGCTGGTAATATTTCTTTCCAATATCTATTGCTGGTTATATTTAGTATTCAAAAATCTATTGCTGTCAATATTTTTTTTCAAAATTGTATAGCTGTTTTTATTGCTGGTATATTTTTTAAAAGTATTACTGAAAGTTTCTTCCTTCAAAAATTTATTGCTGCTATTAAAAACTACTTTTACACTTTCATAGTATTTTGAAGACAGTTTGCCCATAGCTGGAACCCTGACAGGTGCTACCACCCCGGTTCGGGGTGAACCTGGGAAAACCAGCAATTAAGACGTGGTTTCACGCTCCTCAGAACTTCCTGATCAGAGGCCTTGCTGTTGGGCGTAGTTTATCGTCTCACCCATGAAACTGAGCGGGCTGGGTGGCGCTGTTTTATGAAGTTCCGCACTTGAGATAACAGTCTTGGAGATGAAGTGGTTAGTGTGTGCCCAGCCTCAATTGGCAATCGACATCTGAAAATACGCGTCGAACAAAATCCACGTCATATTATCAGAGAAATTTCCGAAATAATGGGCAATATTTTATCAAAATATCGGACCATCACAATTACAAGAAAACACTACAGAACCGCAGGGACTTGTAATATGAGACTTTACCACATCAGTAACAGTAATGATAATGTTAGCAGAATATTATTATTTTTTTTTTAGAGAAGTGTATTCTGCTCTGGCTTCCACCTTTGAGGATAGATACCAGACAAAACAAAGGAAGTCAATTTTGATTGGCGAAACGAGACTGGGAATGACAGAGATATAGAAATGTCGAAGAATGTAGACGTGTTCTCTGTCGTGTCTGGATTTGCTCCCCACAGGGTTGGGAGAAAAACCACACTGGCTATTTAGAAATGTACACGTCGACGGGAATAAAATAGTTGAATTTAAAATTCCCTTCGTTGAAGTTCTTTTTCATCTCTGTCCAAAACAACGAGCTATAACCGGCAGAGAGAGAGATAGAGAGAGAGAGAGATAGAGAGAGAGAAAGAGAGAGATAGAGAGAGAGAGAGAGAGAGAGAGAGAGAGAGAGAGAGAGAGAGAGATCTCACCCACTAACTATCACCTTTTCAAGCACCTTAGCAATTTTTTAGCCAAAATCTTTGCAAAGAAGATGCAGAAACTGCATTCAAGTACTTATTGGTGCTATTTAGATATTTATCATAAGAGCATAAATAACCTTGTTACTCACTGTCATAAATGCATAGGTGTTCACGATTCCGATTTTGACTAACATAAACACCATTTAAATACATTAATTCTGAAATAAAAGTTGCTTCAAAATCAGACATTATTTTCCGAATATCCTAATATTAAAACAATTTCTTTTAAGAAAATAGGTTTTTCAAATCCATTAACTGTTATCCGCGTTTCCAGTACTGATGATGGCTTCGTTTTTCACCTTTGTTTGAAACAGTGTGAAACGTCAGAATAATGAGTTACAAGTTTTTGCAGTTGTTGAAAGTCATCAAGTGATGTAGCCATCGTTAACCGAGAAAGATTTACGTGTAGCTAAACTTAGTAAACTGCATGAATATTAAAGCTTTTAGAACGGGAACACAAGGGAGATAAAAAGAAATATCTTTTTTAAAAATTTGTTCTGTAATACGTATTACGATAAATAACCATAATTCTAATTCCTTGATATATAAAAGGCTTGTTAATTGCTTGAATGATACAACACAAGACCCATTCCTCCATTTCTGCACACGTGATCTGTTTTATTTTTGATGAAATTGCGAAATCTACACATATTGAAGCGTGCTCCGGACAAGTCACTTTTCAGAAAGCTTAACAAATTAAGTTTTTCATTCTGTGAGTATTTGATGCAGTTATGGGAGTTTTTACCGGTGACTGAACGGCAGGCATATTTTTCATGAAGTGATTGGCAGTTTATATTTATATTAATGACCTTGCGTCAAACTTAACTAAACTGAGGAAATGTCGACGATAAATATATCCCATATAAGTATTGTAACTGGATATCTATTTCCAATCAATTTAATAGACGGATCAATAACGTTTGTTGCAATAATAGAATATTTCAGTACGCTGAGAAAAGCCTTGAGTCACCGATCAGAAGACTGATTCGTTGCATTCTAGGATTTCTTCAATCTTTCTCGTTTTTTTTTCTTTTTTAATAATAGCCAAGTTATTTTCTGGGAAATTTTAATGAATTCTTTGTTCATTTTTTTTTAAATTTTCACTCTCATACATTCCTTCTTTTGTTGTCTTCATCTTCATCTGTTTTCTCAGTCCTAAACATCTAACTTTATCTCTTTCGCTTTAATTCGTTTTACTTAGTTTGCTTTCGTCCATCTGTCTGAGATTTCTGCCTAGGCTGTATCTATTCCGATGTTTTTTCTCAATTCTTTCTGCGTATTTAGAATGTTTACACGTGTTTCCCGAACTAACTCTTTACTGTATTTGTTGTAACCTAGGGAAGGTCACTGAATAGAATAATCAAACGAAGGTTGGTAAGGAACGATAATACTTACGACAAGAACAACACATATAAGATTCGCCTGGGGCGAGTAGAAGTAAGAGTAAACTACTAGAAGTGAGTCAAGTCGAATTTAATGTGGGGTATCCGAGCTTGTATCCTAGACCAAAATTGATACAAGCTTAGGCGATCGTGAATCTTTTGATACATCACTGACGATGCAGATTTTTTTTTCCCGCAGTAGATTACCATTTCTTTCTGGGGTAGACCAGTTGCCATCCAAGGCTATAGAACCTACTCTGTCCTGCTATTTACCCATAACTGGATGCGGCGGACAAGAGGATTCATACCTTTCCCAAGGGTAATAGCACGTAAATGAATGTAACGGATCTGATTGGAATTCGAACTCGACTCTGAGTCAGATCCATTACATTCACTAACGTACCTAGAGGCTTGGATTGGGGAATTGGAGAGCCGAGTTCGAATTCCAGTCAAATCAATTACATTCACTCACGTGCTAATACTCTTGAAAAAGATATGAAACCTCATCTTTTCCACCCAGCTATGGGTAAATAGCAGGACAGACCGGGTTCTTTAGACTTGGATAGCAACTGGTCTACTGCAGAAAATTATCAGTAGATTCTTCAAATATGTGCTGTGCACCTTTATGTGGCGGGCGATCAAGGCTCTTCAAACTTCCTATCCTTTATAGTTCTTTACAATGTTTATATTTTTACTATCCTTCTTCCTTCCTGTTTTCTCATCCTTATGAAGTAACCTTGCTTCCTTATCTAATTTACTCACATTTTTTCCAGCAGAAGGTTGCCATTTCTTTCTCCCATTCAAGCCTATGGAAACCGGTCTGTCCTGCTATTTCCTCGGGGTGGGGGGAGAAAAGAGGATTCATATCTTTTCGAAGAGTATTGGCACGTAAGTGAATGTAATGAATTTGACTGGAATTCGAACTCGGCTCTCTGATTCCTCAATCCGATTCCTATCCATTACAACACCATGCCTCCTACTCGACCTTTTTTTGTTTATCTTTTTAGTTTCTACTCCTCTTCCTCCTTGGCGTCCTTTTCCCCACTCATTATTTCCATTTTTCACTCTTTCAAGCTGTACGCCTCCTTCTTTACTTTATTTTCCATCTCCTCTTCTTACTCGAGTCAGTAATCCACCTCTTCATATTATATCCCAATTTCTCCATGTCTATTCCTCTTTATTCGTCTCTAAATTGTTTCTGACCTCATCTCTTTCCACATCTTTATCCAAATCTTTTTATATATTACTTTCTATCTTCTCCCCTTCGCCTCGACGTCAACCCTTTCAGTTTTTTCCATCTTCTCCTTGTCTGCAATTTACCTTATTTTCCACCTACTCTCGTTCAACTTAATCTCTATATTATTTATACCTTCTTCCTTTCTGCATTTTCCTCTAACTCCCACTACAGTTTATTTTCTACCATCCCAATCCCCCACCACTCTCTGGACATTATTTTCAATCTCCTCCCTTTTCTCCTTCTCACCCAAATCCCACCAAATATTAGTTATCCACCTCAACACCTCCTCCTTCTCCTCCCTATACATATTATTTTTCACATCTTTTCCTTCCTATTCCTCCTTATCCAACTCCTGCTACCTCGTATATTCTACCGTCTCTCTTTTCTTTTTCTCATCCAACTCCCCCTATATATTAATTTTCACCTCCTCCTTTTACTTTTGCACGTTCAACTCCATCTGCATCGTATTTTCCACCTCCAACCTTTCCTCCTACTTCAACTTATTTTCTGTATTTTTCTCTTGCTGAGTCCTTTTAGGATGCGGACAAATCTCTTCCTCGATCAAACGGAATCAAATCGATTTTGTGCTTAAAAAAGACCAAAAAAACAGCGTTACTTTATTTATGGACATTTAATAAGCTTAGCTTAGTCTGCTTGAGGAATTTCTGATCAGATGATGATTATATTGCGCCAAACGGCCTGGCTGGTATTTGGGATGAATTATATCTCGGCTTTAAAATGATGGTTTCCCAGACAGTCAAGATACTTTGGCAAACGATACTTGGCCAAACCCCCATTCCTCCTTATATTATCGCTTGCTGAACTAAGTCAATATCTAGAGATAAAAAGCTTTATACACTTTATTAGGGATTGCTTTTTGTTCTCTCTTTAAGTTCCTAACTCTTGGCTGTATTCAAAATAATCAATCAGTTATGTCAGCCAATGAAGCCAATTGATCTATCGTTGGTCAATAGATCTGCCATGGCATAGGCCCAGATATATCATGTTTAATCTGATCCGCTTCGCCTTCGATTTATTTGATCTTCGATGCTTATATTGAGAGAAGGAATGGATTATTATCTTAAGACGAACAAGGGTTGAATTCGTTAAGGAAATGATTGCGGTGCTCCAAAAGCACATTGCTGTTGTCGTCCATCGAGAAGAGAATTCAGCGGACATTAGTCCATAAATTATGAACATATATATGGCTACATAATGAAGAATATTCTGTTGATAATATTCTCAAATGCTTGGTCTTTAATAAAATTTGAAATGCATCTGTCTTCACTTGGAATTATCAAAAGAACCATACCGCATGTTTGGTTGATACGAAAATATTTATAATAATTTATTGTCAATTAGTAACCGGTTACTGCGTAATAGTGGAAGTCTATCTAGCATTTTAATGAGGTCAATATCTGAATTACTGGAATGGGTAGCTATTAGTATTTTATTTATCAATATCTCTACTCTAGACTCGTCAGGATTATCTTTGCCTGAAGTTCAATTCTGTTTATGAGTGCATATAATTCCGTCCATGCTCCTCTTCAAACCTGATCTCTGAAAAGCACACGGGTCAATGGAATCTCTTCAATTGTTCTAAAGAAATGTTCTCCTGAATTTTTTCCTGTTTTCTCTAAAATCTTGTTGCTTCTTACTTTTCAGCTTGTTTGAAATTCTCTTCTGTAAATCCTGTTTAAGAACTCGGCTGTATGTTCTGACCAATCCAACTATTAGGTTTCTATCATATTTTGCTGGGCTAAATATTTGAAGCTCTAATCAACAACGAAATACTTAAGCATCTCACCACACAGGGTTTACTTTCAAACAAACATTCTTTTCTCCGAGGTTTTTTTTTTTACGATTATTACTGAAAGAGTCTACCAAAGTTTAGATATGAACGGTTAAGCTCAGAATGTGACTTTAACGATCTGGATGGTGACAGAGTTTGACATGGTATTCTTACTGGTAAGATGAAGGTCTATCGTGTCTCCGTTCGAAATCTTGATTTGAGCCAGTCTTTCTTAAATCGTGTAATGAAATTCGACCTGAACGACCACTAGATTTTTCTAGATTTTTACTTTAATGTACATGACCCAATCGACCTATATTCAGCAACAATGCTTTCCGATATGAACATTTATATCTGTTATGATTACTAATTACTACTATTTTAATAGTAAAACAGATAGGCTCTATAAAAATCAAATTGGTCACTAATCTCGAATATGACATCTAATCAGTTGTTAACTGAGTATAATTAAACGCCTCCCATCATTTTGCTCTCCATCAGCATGGCAGAAGCAAACCTTCCGAAGAGCAAGTTATTTCTACTTCTCGATGTCATGTTAGTCCATTGACATTATATTGAAACAATTGTTAGGTCTGATGTTACGAATGTTGATTCAGTTTCCTGTGCCAGACAATTTTTCGCTGCATAATCCATTTTGCGCGTTTATAAATCTACCATTCTTCAATCTTTTGAATTATGCGACCGTATCTGGTCTGGCGCTCTTGTCGTATATGTTGAGATCCTTGAGAAAACCTCAAAATGAGTCTGTAATGTTATTGATCCTAACCTAGCATCTCGATTTCAGACACTTTCCCACCACCCTAACGTTGATTCGGCTTGATTTTTCTATAAATATTTGGCATGGGAATTTTTTCTGATGAGATTTCCTCTTTCTTATGTAGACTTCCTGAATCTAAGCGCAGTACTAGATTGGCGGTTAAGTCTCATCATTTTTCTGCGTAAATAGCTAGATGTAACCGTAAGTTCTATTCTAATAGTTTCTTTTTTGCACTTCTTTAACAGTTATTTCCTGCTTCCATGTCAACTATGGTCGTTAAATATTTAAATACAACATGATACGCTACTCTTTGAATACTGATTTTTTGTTATTGTTTTTTTTTTCTTCTGAGTAACGTTTTATTTTTTTCACTCAGTAACCTATTGCGCCATATTAACTTTATCAATTTGCTTGGCGGGAGGGTGATAAAATATATATTTACCCTCGAACCAAACTATTCATTTTTGTTGCTATTTTCGGAACGCTTCCGGTCATGTGCTCTCCGACTTACTTCCAAGTCTACCTTTCATTTAATCTCCTGTTGTGTGTTGTTCGCGTTACAATGTCCACGTCTAAGGCTCTATAATTTTCATCCTTTTTAGGCATAATCTAAAGTTTGTACTCTCAATCTCTATGCGACAAAACGGTTTAGTTCTCTAGGCCATTGAAGATTGCATTCTTAAAACTAATGTTTTCTTGGTTGCCTCTTTGTGCCGCTGTCACGCTGAAATGTGTCCCCGGCACTTCTCTTACTTCCTGCTGAAGACTTGCTTACACTTATGAATTCATATGTGATGTAGATTTTGAGCTATAATTTTTACCGTTTTTAATCGGTAAAGATATAATGGTTTTTAATGTATAATTTATACCGTTTTGTAATCTGCAATTGTTACCGTTATTTTCGTAATTTTTTTTTTATAATCAATACTCTATTTTACAACGAGCATTAATGGTAGATATGTGTTTTATTCAAATACTGTATTCAATGGCACATAAAATCACACTTTCATCTAATTTGCTTCGAAATATCTCCCGGGCGTTATAGACGAAGCTGATGTATATGGTAGTCTAATGATTAGATTAGCAGTTGTTCTACATAACCTAATTCTATATTACTGTAATAAGAAAAGTAAAAGAAAAAAAAACTGCTATCAAATAAAGTATATCTGAGTAGAAATATTCATTTACCTTACTTTCGAAGTAACGTCCATGTAACAATAATTTTGTTTGCAATGCTCTTGATGTGGAAAATGCAACGCAAAGTTATTATTGGTTAAATTAAGGTGCAGGCGTATTTGAAAATTATATCTTTCTTAAGATTGTTCAAATTTAAGTATAATATTAATAGTTGTCTTTGGAACAGGATCATTACTGAAAGTTGGAGGAGACGGAAAGATTTTTCTGCACCAAGTTAATACATTTTTAAAGGCGTATAGAATATGATGAAAGCTTTTGATTCACCTCGCCATTCTATCAAAGCCGTGATCGCCTTTACAAAAAAAAAGTGAGATGACAGAAAATAAAAGAAAAATAAATTCTTCACCTCTTTGTAAGTTTTAGTGCGACTCCATTTTGTATTTATCTTTTCCGATACAAGTTTGAAGAGATAGAGATTACTTTTTCTCTCTTATCTCGTGGGAAGAGAAGTTATTATTTACATAATGTACAATGGGACTTTTCGCCTAATACTAATTGTTATTATCACAAATTTTAGGGCATTTTACTCTCAGGGTTTCGTTATTGATATGTTTGTTTTGTTTGTTTTGTTTTACGCCATATATTAATGTCGACACTTTTCATTGTTGGTGATGTAATGAATATGCATACAGCTGGGTTCCCCCTCACAGTAATATGATTGGCTGGTGTCAGCCATAAATACAGAGTGATGTGGAGGTAAAAAAAAGGACGCCTTTTGATTTCGCCTATTGCTTACCACTACGACGAGGACCAGTCCATTACGGTTACCTGCTAAGATTGTCCTACCCGGTTACAGTAGTCAACAACCACTTTGCTACTTCGAACAAATATATCCCTTACCGGGACATATCAGTTGGTAATATTTTTTTTTTCCAAAAATCTATTTCTGGTAATATTATTTCCTTCAAATATCAAATCTATTTCTGGTAAGAATTTCCCTTCGCTGGTAATAATTTTTTCTTTCAAAAAATTTATTGCTGATAATAATTTTCTCATACAAAATATTTCTAGAATTAAAACCTATTTTTACACTTTCATAGTGTTTTGATCCGAGTTTGAGGGATAAACTATTTGCCCATAGCTGGGACCCTAACAGGTGCTACCTTCACGAGTCAGGGCCGACCTGGGAACATCAGCAATTAAGAGGTGGTTCCACACTCTTCAAAACCTCCTGTTCAGAGGCCTTGCTGTCAGACGGAGGTTATTGTATTACCCCAGGACACGGGTTATGGATGTGTCGTTCCGGTTAACCTTCAGATTATTTCGAACTGAACCCCTTTTTTTAATTTAGCCCTTATTTAATTATTCTCATTCAGCTTAACATGTCTCGACATATCTCGTCTGGTTTTTATTGCTCGACCTGATTTCACTGGGTTTAAATCATCTCTACCCGGCTGTGATTGAACTTAAGATAACACTGCCAACTAATTCATCAACAATTTTTTTATCGCCTATGCCATCTGCAGCATTTGGAGGATTAGACGTAATCGTAATCTGCCTGCTTCTGCTCGTCACGCTACACTGAATTCACCGATTATTTCTCTTTTTTAATTCTCTTTTACATCTGATCACTTTTGTGATGTCAAAAAAAAAAATACTCGTTGTCACTTTCATTGTAGTAGAGACTTTGTAATCGAATATACAACTATAGTACAATGTTGAACAATACTGGTGTCAGACGCCTTCGAATGGCATTTGCACTAATAGTACTTGCTCGAGAATTCTCGTTCGAGGAGTAATCGTTATAATGGTCAGAATAT